ATAATTTTTAATTAACATTCACCGAACTGGAATAAAATAAAATAAAAAAAAAACGTTCAAATATAATAACGAATAAATTTAAAAAAATATATAAACATAATTATCAGCTATGACAAACACGAATTGTGACACTAAATTATTCTTTATGATCATACGAGAGATCCTGGGTGGGGTGGGTGCAGTTACCCGGATTGTTTAGGAAAATAATTATCTTTTGCGAAGGATTCATGATTGGTGAAGATGTTTTTATTGCATTCGTCGGAACCCTTCTCTTTATTCTAGAATGAAGGGGTGCTATTTTTTCCTTGCCAGAAACTAATCGATAATATAAAGCAATAATGAGACTTGACTGAAAGTAGCTTGCAAGAAATACTGATAACCCAACGAAAAAGCGGTTATATTTAAATGTTTTTCTAGATATGTCATGCTTAAAACCGAATTAGAATCGGATCAAAGCACTTAATCATTAAATTAGATTTTCATTTAAATTCTGTATACTTCCTTGAAGCTAATTAAAACATGATACCAAAGAACAAGACTGTTAACTAGTAAACCTCGATTTTTTTTTTACTATTTTTCACACTGGCCCAAAAGCCACCCAAGTTAGAGGCTTGCTAAATGAGTAGAAGTAAGTGGTGCATATTTTAAGAATGTGTAGGATAGATAATGGTTGATCCTAGACTTGAAGATGTTCAGATTCTAGTCATTGGGTAAGCATCCTCTCGGGAGAACCTTCCAAAATGCAGCAATTTTGGGGAAGATTGTCTGAGTGGGACATTCTTCTTCCCGATCTTACGCAATACAAGTCTCAAGAGCCGCTCAATGTATAGATTTACTGAATTAAATTTGTGATATGAACATCAGAGTAGGAAGAAAAATGCGCATATTATGAGAATACGTAGAGTAGATAGAAGCAGAGTCATAACATTGGACATTATGAGAGTGTAGATTTCTGGAAAGCATCCCCGTAGGAGTCTGTTCCACAAAGTAGCGGTGCTTGAGTTGAAATCATGCGAGAAAAATATATTTCTTACCGATCTTACTCAGTACAAGAACCATTCAAGGTGGATGTTGCGCTGAATGTTGTGTGTAATATGAACATAGCAGGAGGAAGTACAAACCAATGGAATACGAGGGACTGAGAATGAGTCACATCAACGTACACAACGGGTCCGATATGTGAAGGCCTGAACTGATGAAAGTAAGGACTGTAGTTGGCTTGAACTTGGAAGTCGTGAAAATAGCGACAGAGTGGCGAAAGGCTTGCAACGTTTGATGTGTGGGAAAAGGACTGTAGGGTGAAAGACATTTCATCACCCACAAGGACGTCGCAACCAGTTTTGAATTCAGTCGGGATTGGAAAATGTGGAAGTGGTGGATCCAGACCAGATGTGGCAGCAATATTCTATATTTTAGTCTTGTGAAGATCGAAAATGGCACCGAACATTTTCCTGCATCTTTAACGATGGATTGTATATAGGAGTTCCGTTTAAGGTCTGAAGTGAACCTACACGCCAAATGGTTAAAAAGAAGAGAAATTTTATAAAATTTTGTCTTTTAATCATTTTACTCAAGTCAAGGTGATAAAGCCACTAAGATGCAGCGAGTGAAATACAATAAAAATACTATAGGCGAAGGAACCGGAATCCCATTCTTAGACAGGAAACAAGGGATAAATTTCTACTCCTGTTCAAAAGACCGGCAATGAGACGATATATATATATATATATATATATATGATATGGGGTCCACCCCTTTTTCATACAAGTGGACTCGACCAGTGTGTACTTGTACTGCTGCCAGTGAATACCCGGAAGTTAGAGAGTCAGAGACTAATACAGTGATACAGTGAGAGTGTGAGGTAACCGCTTTGTAGGAGTCACAGTTGCGAGCACGGAGACTCAGAAGGAAGTCCTGCTTCGATACTGTATTTCCCAGACTGTGGATTTTTTAAACAATATTATGCATTATTTTCCATAAAATTATGGAAAATAAAGCATAATATTGTTTTGTGTGTGTGTGTGTGTGTGTCTGTATCTGTGTGTGTGTGTGTGTGTGTGTGTGTGTGTGTATCTGTATCTGTGTGTGTGTGTGTGTGTGTGTCTGTATCTGTGTGTGTGTGTGTGTGTGTGTGTGTCTGTATCTGTGTGTGTGTGTGTGTGTCTGTATCTGTGTGTTTGTGTGTGTGTGTGTGTGTCTGTGTCTGTATCTGTGTGTGTGTGTGTGTGTGTTGTCTGTGTCTGTATCTGTGTGTGTGTGTGTGTGTGTGTGTGTGTGTGTGTGTCTGTGTCTGTGTGTGTGTGCGTGCGTGCGTGTGTGCGTGTGTGTGTATTTCGGCAGCAAATGCTCTTGAAGGAAAATATTATTAAATACAACATTACAATAAACATTTCCTGTTGATCGATTAATTTTACTGCTCAAATTTTCCAAATTACGAATAATCCTTCTCAGACAAAAAGGAATGGTTGGCTGACTGATTTTTTTTTTCATTATATCAACCTCTATGTGTTATTTAATGTCGAAATGTAAATAATCTGAACAATTTTATCGCTGCAACTAAATATATTTTGAACACAAATGTATGCTTTCATCTTGAGATAAAAATATATCGCCTGCCATATTTTCTTTAAAATTTATGTTGCTTTAAAATTTATCGTTGCTAATTTTACTATTATTGCTATTTTTTTACATAAAAAATTTACTGAAGATATTTTTTTCCTATAAACATTTATTTTATACTTTCATAGTGTTTTGATTTCAATACTCTATCAGTTGGGACAGTTATGTTATGACAAGAAGTCTCCGTGTTGTAGTGGTTGGAGCGTACGTAAGCTGATTGATTGATTTGTTTCTTTATCGGCATATCAACTCAATATGGGTCATTTAATGCCGGAATTTGATTCTCTTGGGAGCTTGGAAATAATACAAATTTGATATATGTTATTCCGCTTTCACAACTGAATACATGGTAAATGATACTCCGCTTTTGTGAATACGCATGTTTGTGTGGACATAATTACTAGAAGCAGTGATGTGTGTTTTATGCCGTGATTTTGTAGAAGTTATATTTTGAAATACAGTTTGATTTAAGAAATTGTAGGATATTATATGGATTAATATTATGAAAATGTTCTTTCATACTGTTTGGTTGATTTTGTTTAGCGGCATATAAACTCTTATGGATTATTTAATGCTGAAATGTAAATGTTATGGCTTTAACTAAATATATTTTGAACGCAATTGTATGCCTTCAACTACAAATAAAAATGTATTGCTGGCCATGTTGCTTTAAAAATGTATTGCCGGCCATGTTGCTTTAAAAATGTATTGCTGCTAATTTTATTATAGATAGCTATTGTTGTTATATTTTTAATATTTTAATGCCGAAATCTAAATATTTTGAACGCAATTTTATGTCTTCAACTACAGATAAAATTTATTGTTGGTCATTTTATTTTAACGTGTATTGTTGGTCATTTTACTATAAAAACGTTTGCTTTAAAAATGTATTGTTTGTAATTTTTCTATAAAAATGTATTGGTAGCATTTTTATACCTTCATTGTGATTTATTTCTGTTTGGAGCTTCACTGTGTGCCCATAGCTGGAGCCATGGCAGGAGCTATCACCACCCCCTGGGTCAAGGGCGGACCTGGGATCAACAGTAATTACGAGCTGTTTACACGCTCCACAAAATATTCAGTTCTTCGATCAGATGCCTTACTTCCGGATGTACTTTATAGTCATACCTAGGACAAAGAGGAAATTACGTCAGAAATTGTCCAATCTTTCGACATTCTTAAGTCATCATCAGGGTATGTAGAGACAATTGGTGTATTTCGTAGAACTTGTAAGAAAGTGTTTTGACGTAAGCGAGTTGTGCCGTGTAATTATTTTTATATATACATTCGAGAAGGCGGGCTCTTAAGTTAAGCTCTACGTCACAACATCCAGTAGTTCTACGAAACTCACCAATTGTCTCTCTAACTATTCTGATGATGACTTAATATAGTCGAAACGTCTGAACTATATTTCTTGTAAGTTTCTTTCGAAATGAGCTTCTGACGGAATTTCCTCCTTGTCAGAGAAGGACTTTTCGAGAATTTTGGCGATAAAAAATACTTACTGAATCTAACGCGTAATTTTCACTGTTTCAATCGAAGTACCCTTTTGAATATATATATATATATATATATATATATATATATATATATATATATATATATATATATATATATGAAAGTTTCTCTGATTTAACCAGTAGAGAAGACAATATCTATGAATAAAATGACAATAGGAAAACTGGTAATTGCTGACGCGTTTCCTCCAATGTGGACTTTATCAAAGCAAAAAATACGAAAAATGAAATTAATTGAATAAAGTAACTAATAAAAAAAAAAACAGAATGTACCTAGCAACTGGAATGTAGAGAAACGCTATTTTCATATTTTAACTGAAAAATAACGTCAGTATTTGTCACGTGTGGAGAATATTGTCATTATACACAACAGATTCATAAAATCAAAAGAAAATGGTTGAATACATCAACACAGATATAATGACAATATTCTCCATATATATATATATATATATATATATATATATATATATATATATATATATATATATATATTCAGAATTCTTATCTTTTCCTCACACAATGCTATGGCATATCACTTGATAAACGTAAAGAGCGCATTGGCGAAGGCTAATATTTAGTGAAGCTTCTTGGTTTGACTATTACTATTGAGAAGTCAGCTCGATCATTACTGGAGGACCTATACAGAGATTCGATGTTAAACAAACCATGATTTGACATATAACAGCAACCTATCGTCAGGTTCACACTCCTCCTCCGTCTTTTGAACTGGAGTAGAGCTTCATCCCTTGTTTTCGCAAGACATAATCATCCGCCTGTGGATACGTTCCAAGAAACTGCCTTGCTGTTATAGCAGGACAGTCGTTCGACGAGTGCAGGCGATCGGTTTGTGTTCGAAGGTCGTCATTTTTCTGCCGGATCGTCGACCTTGATTACAACAAGCAAGATCGATAGATAGATAGAAAAGAAGAGATTACAGGAGATAGATCGATAGATAAGAAAAGACTGCAATAGATAGATAGATAGATAGATAGATAGATAGATAGATAGATAGATAGATAGATGCAGAGAGAAAATCGACAGATAGATAGCTAGAGTGATAGATAGATATGAAGTCAGATAGAAAATCAAAAGAGAGAAAATGAATAGATAGATAGATAGATAGATAGATAAGGAGCAGACTGAAATAGATAGATAGATAGATAGATAGATAGATAGATAGATAGATAGATAGATAGATAGATAAGGAGCAGACTGAAATAGATAGATAGATAGATAGATAGATAGATAGATAGATAGATAGATAGATAGATAGATAGATAGTAATTGTCTTTTCTTTTATTGTCCTATCTCTTTCTTTTACTCTCAGTAACTCCTTGCATCTTAGAGGCATTTTTCGACTTGCTTGGGGTGAACTGATTAACAAAAGATAGATAGATAGATAGATAGATAGATAGATAGATAGATAGATAGATAGATAGATAGATAGATAGACTTGGAAAACCTGAGATAGATAGATAGATAGATAGATAAGAAGAGACTGCGATAGATAGATAGATAGATAGATAGATAGATAGATAGATAGATAGATAGATAGTAATTGTCTTTTCTTTTATTGTCCTATCTCTTTCTTTTACTCTCAGTAACTCCTTGCATCTTAGAGGCATTTTTCGACTTGCTTGGGGTGAACTGATTAACAAAAGATAGATAGATAGATAGATAGATAGATAGATAGATAGATAGATAGATAGATAGACTTGGAAAACCTGAGATAGATAGATAGATAGATAAGAAGAGACTGCGATAGATCGATAGATAGATAAGAAGAGACTGTGATAGATAGATAGATAGATAGATAGATAGATAGATAGATATCAACAGTGAATGGCGACTGTAAATTTTATACCTCAAGTTTTTTTCGGGCCATGTATCACATATTTACACCGGCTCTGTATATAGTATATGTATATCCCTTATTTTCTGTTTAGGATTGGGTTCCCGGTCCCTTCGGAAGTTTTCTAATCCCCTTTCACTCCCAGTAGAACCCCTTTCGTCTTAGTGGCGTTATCACCTTCCTTGGGATGAAATGATTTTTTAAAAAGTCTCAGTGGGACAATGGTTTGAAAGTGTTGTCTGGTTGAATATTAATAAGGATTAGTTAGTTCAATCCTTATTGGCTGCCCCCATACAGCATTTGATACTAAATGCCTTCTAATTCATCTTCAGGGTTACGGTATTAGAAAACAATTATTTGATTTAATCCAATCCTTTCTATCAATTCGTGGAATGAAGGTCGTCCTGAACGGCATCTCTTTCAGTTTCTTTCATACGAACGCGGGTGTTCCCCAAGGCACTATCCTGGATTCTACACTGTTTCTGATTTTCTACAATGATCTTCATGATGTCATCGGCTCTCAAGTAGGCATCTATCTATAAAAAGAATACCCGCTCGGCCCGGTGGCTAGGATCAAAGTGTAGTATCTGCGCTTTGTGAGCTGCCGGGTCGGGTGTCTGTCGAACTCTCTGCTTGCAGAGAGGAACCCGGACGAAGCTCCGCCGAAGGGTAGGGTTTCGTTGGGGGAGGTTGACGGAACTGGCCCGCCTCGGCGGGTTTGGATGGTTATTTATTTTTGGCTGGGCCTACGGGCTCAGAGATACCCACATTAAAAAGGCCTTGTGCCACATTCGATCCCCGTGGGTGGATTGATAAATACCATCTATGCAGACAACACTACAATTTAATCAATAGTAAATCCGGTAATGCTGACAAAGCTAATCTGACTATTGGTCTCGAAAAGGGCCCACAAAGAGGGGTTAACTGGGGCAGGAAATGGCTTCTAAATTTTAATGTCCCCAAAACTAAACTGTTCTCATTTAACCACCTTTGAAAAACTTCCCTGCCCTCCACCATCATGGTTGATGCCCAACTCCGGGAGAACGTCTCTCTGTGCCTTGGCTTTATCTTTTCGACTGACTTGAGGTGAAACAAGTACATTGAATCCATATCTGCATCTACTGCAAGGAATATTGGTTTCGTGTGTCGTGCCAGAAGGTTTTTCTCGTCCGAGTCCATCCTACGCATCTAAAAAATCTATCATTCGTACATGCATTGAATACTGTTGACATATATGGTCTGGTACCCCTGCTATTCATTTCGAGGTCCTCGACAAAATCCAGAGAAGGATCTGCAATGCAATCGTCCCTGTCTTGGCATCTCGACTCCAGCCATTTTCTCACAGACGTGATGTGGCTTTCTTCTGTCTTTTCTACAAATATTTTCATGGCTACTGCTCTGATGAGCTATTTCCCCCTGTGTCTCGCCTACAAGAATTTAAACGTGCTACCTTGTTAACATTTAGGTTCCACCCTTTTACTGTTGAGACAGTTAAATGTAACTGCTACTGCTTCATTCGCACTTCCCGACAGTATAACTCCTTTCCTCTTACTTGTTTCCCTGACTACAATCTTCAAAAATTAAAATGCAGCGTCAATCGTCATCATCTGATGCCTTGATCCCTGTGCTTCTTTTTATCATTTCCTCAATCCCTACTACCTCTCTCTCTCTTGCGGCCACAGCCGAGATTGAACTCACCAATACTTTGATTGGTGTAGTTCACAATCATGTCAAATAGCTGAATTCTTGATGCTTCGCTAGGGCTATCAAGGGTGTTTTTTTATCGTGACACCAACACTAAATGGATTGCCAACCAAGGCTCAGAGAGACTCCATTCACCCTCCTCTAAGAGCAGGTTTGAATTCAGAGTTTTCCTTCTCCTAGACCAATTGCCATAGAACCCAGTCTGTCCTGCTACTATGTGGGAGAAGAAAGCGGATTCAGACCTTTCCCAAGGGTCTTAGCACGTAAGTGAATGTAATGGATTCGACTGGAATTCGAACTCGGCTCTCCGATTCCTCAATCCAAGCCGCTATCCATTACTCCTGCCTCCCCACTATTTCTGTTACTGTCACTAACTTTTATCCCCACCCCGACGTAGTAGTGGCACTCTCGCCTTGCTTGGGGTGAAATTCTTAAAAAAAAAAAAACGTAAATAAAATAACCCAACATAGGTTGACGTCATAAAATCAACCTAAATTAAATCGATAGATTAACCAGAACGACCATTACTACTGATTAGTGAATTCTATCCTCACTGGGTGCCCCCTATAAAATATTTGATATTAAGTGACCATAAATCTTATATAATCCATAAATTATTTGAATATTTTTAAACTACGCATTATTGGTTATTATATGTGGTAAATGCAAATTCCTTCTAAAAGACCGCAACATTTTAAAGAACTTCTCCAAGACGAGGTGTTAATTGAAAAATTTGTATCCAATTCCTTTGAAAACTCGTCAATACAAATCACACGCCAGCAGGTTGCGCGTGGGAGGAGAGTGTCTTGTAGCCTCTGCAGAGAACTGCTGGCGGGAATGTGTCTTATTTCGTTAATGAATTCACTTCAAGTAGTCAATGTCCCCTCAGGAGACAGAAATCTGTTAATCAAAGAAGCCATTACAGTTTGGATTTTAGGTGAGAGTGCAACGGATGGAGGCTGGGTGGGTGAGTTTTTATCCTTGCAAAAGTTTTGCGGGATTAAAAACAGTAGGCATCACATTACTAATGTTCATCATGCGCCAGTGAATTGTTTAACTTCCTCAGCTGAAAAGCAAAAGTGATACATTCGTGCGCTGGCTCAAAAGACATAATCCTCCGCCCGTGGCTGCCTTCCAAGAAACTGCTTTGCTGTTAAAACAGTGGTTCTACGGGTGTAGGTGATCGGTTTGTGTTCGAAGGTCGTCATTTTTCTGCCGGGTCGTCATCATTGATTACAAAAAGCACTGATAAATAGATAGATAGATAGATAGATAGATACGAAGAGACGGCAACAGATAGATAGATAG